GGATCAGGAATGTGAAGACAAGAGTGGTGTTTATCTTACTGCAAGATAATACACTCACAGAAACAAAGAGTCATTGAAACAAACTAAAAATATGGACTAGATTCTGCGACCACTTACATGTATGCTTATCTTTAAACACCCAGGCCGCACAGAAGTCTTACACCTGCACATCAAAAGAAAGCTTAGTATATTAAGTGTCTACAATATAGGGCCTTGGACTGAACCATAGTCATCTGAGCGCTTAGAGGGAATTGAAAAGTGAAGCTGTTGATTCCCTTACAAAAATACACTTCTTACATGGTGTAAATTGTTAACAGTAAAAACAATTATGCATTGGTACAACTTACCAAGGGTTGTGATAGATCAAGTGGGATGTTCATTAAAAATATTCTAGGCATTATTTTGCTGATGTTATATGGCCTGCATTACACCGGAGGTCAAACTAGATGATCACAATTGTCCGCTCTGGCTTAGGAATCTATTTAAAACAATCTTATAATTATGTAACCAGGTTAATCGATCCGACAGAAAAGAAAGCTAAGCTTTTTGCTTGGTGATGAGAGAAGTGGAAAACTCCAGCATGCTCACTGTGCCAATAAAGGGAAGTGGTGGTGTTCTCTGTGATTGTGCAAACCCTGGGAGATGAAAGGGTGACTAAGCCATTCAGACAGGGCATGAAAGGAGGACTTCTTTGTCTGAATGATCCCCTTGCCTCTTTTCTCTTTTGCTCTAAAAGCATTTGCTGAACTACTCTGGGAGGAAGCAAATGGATTTAGAAACACAGAAGAGGCCAGTATTTCACGCCCATTGCTACTGTGGAAAGTTAGCCTGCTATCATCTCACTGCACTTAGGTGCCTTCAATCCAAAAATGATGTATTAAAATATTTGGGTTCCTCTGTATTCTGGAGACCACTAGTATGAAATAAACCGGATTAGTATACCCAAAGAGAATAGTGTAGTGTTATTGACAGGCTGAATGGTGTTACTCATCTATCCACTCAAAATCAATCTTCCCCTACTCTCAGTATTTTACTTTATAAATAAAGAGCACCTTGATTGTTGCTTCATCCATTACATAGGTATCAGAAGAGTATATGTACAAGTATCAGGCTAGTCATATTGCGTACCATGTCAGGAACAGTCAAAACCACATAGGGAGTTTGGTAGGTTCCCAAGTACCTTAACAGTCAGATGGAGGCACCACTACACAGCTAAGAACCTAGGTCATTGAAACTTTATGCAGCCGTAGCAGAGGAACACTGGTGATGGCTTCCATTGATCAACTGCCTTTCAGGGCATGGTGACCTATAACATCCCTTTACAATTAGAATAAGCCCATATGCTCGAGGGCTGAAGGTAGCCAACATCACATGTGTCACCTACGCATCCTATCAATTCTGAATCTTCAAATGAGTTGTAGAAAAAATAATCCTTTATTAGAGAGGTTCTCAAACTTGAGCAACCAGAGGGATCCCATTTGATTTAAAAGTTTTGGGGACTCTCTGCATCCCCTTCACTGAGATCCAACCTCTGTCCCACACCTCCTCTGAGACTCTGCTCCCCCACATTCTATCCTCCTCCCTCTGTTGCTTGCTCTATCCCACCTTCACTCACTTTCAATGGGTGAGGTAGGGTGTTGAGGTGTGGAAGTGGGCTGAGGGTTGCAGCTAGTGGTGTGGGCTTTGGGATGAGACAAGGATTAGGGTGTGGGAGGGGACTCTGGGCTGGGACAGGGGTTGGGATTAGTGAGGAAATTTGGTGTGCTGGGTCCTGGAGGCTGTTTATGAGGTTTCCAGGAAGTGGCTGTCAGACCCTGTGGTTAGTAGCCAGATGAGTGGCCAGGGAGGCTCTGCATACAGCCCTTATGCCCAGAGGTCCCAGCAATACAAATCCCATTGGTCTTACTTCCTGGGCAATGGGAGCTATGGAGCTGGCAGCTACACAGAGGCAGGATGTAGAGCAGGGCTACTCAACATGCTGCTGGCCCATTTGTTTGTGGTCCGTGGTGCAGTTTGAATTTACGTGAGGCTCAACACATGACCCGTGGGTGGGAGCCAAAACAAAAAAAATAGTCAATATAATGGTTTTCTATTGATAGGCATTTTAGTAGTTAAATTCCTGGACTGTCATTGCTCATTAAAAGTGCTGTCATATGGGTGGAAATTGGGTAAACATTGTGTTTTGTTAATATCAGAAGAACTGATTTAAATGGGGCCTGTATGTGGTGTAGTCTTGCTTTAATCTTTGTATTCATGCCCATCAGTGTGAAGGAAGCTATTTGCATATATATTTGCATGTATATGCAACCACACTTAAGTTGCAGCCCTTACATGTGCTGTGAGTATCATTGTGACCCCTGCAGCTTCGAAAATTGAGTAGCCCTGATGTAAAGTCTCCTTCGCCACCCGGATGCCTAGGGGTCATAGGGACCTGGTGTCTACTTCCTGGGAGTTGTGTTGGACCAGGGCAGGTAGGGAGCTTGTTTTAGGCATAAAAGGGGGAGGAGTTGATCAGCAAGGCCCTAGGATTTCAAGATATTATTTTAGAACATTCTTTGGAGGAGGATATGCAGCAGAACTAAACTCACAGAATAGGAGTATATTAAAATTCTGGGCCCAGATCCTGAGCAACTGCCAAGGAGTTCTACACAGAGCTGAAAATAGGCTAAGTGTGGTTCATACATGAAGCAGAAAAATGTATTCAGATTGCTTCTGTTATTCTTGTAGTTCCTCACTGTGGGGTGATAGTAGTGAGTGAGGTGTGTGGGAAAGGCATTCAAGAGTCAATACTTCTTGTTTATGATTAACAGGATATACAATTTCTGACCAATAAGAATGTCTTGTCCTGATCCTTTCTTTTATTTACTTTCTCTCTCTCTCCCCCCCCCCCTTACTCCAATTATTTGTTTCCCGTTTTCCCTCTCCTTCCAGCTGTAGGGCTATGTCTACTCTACAGATAACATCGAAACAGCTACACTTGATTTTCTGGGGTTCAAATTAGCGAGTCTACTGAAGATACACTAATTCAAACTAAGAAGGATGCTTCGATTAATGCTGGTAGACCTGCTTGTATGAGGAGCAAGTGAAGTCAAAGTGAGAGTATGCTCCCTTCAACTTCCCGCAGTGTGGTTGGTGCCAAAATTCAAGTTAAGATACTTTGACATAAGCTACACAATTAACGTTGCTGAAATTGTGTATCTTAATTCAGACTTATCCCCTAGTGTAGACCAGGGATAGGATACACTACTGAACTATACTAAGAGGGTCAGGCAGCAGAGGCAGAATTGCCTGAAGTGGAGAAGGATGTGTAGCATCTGGACTCAATACAGTACTTTCTTTAACTGACTGGAGATATTGAATACTACTGAAACATTTCTGCATGAATCACTTGCATGTCAAAGAAAGAAAGAAAGAAAGAAAGAAAGAAAGAAAGATGTTGTTAGAAGCAGTGTTCAGCTAGCACCCTGTGGAGGCAGGAAAAGGGAATAAGGGAATTTGTGTGCAGCCATCTTGGTCTTGTTAACAAGAGAGCAAGAGTCAGGCTAAGTCTGTGGCCTGACAACGCGAGATCTGTAATTAGACGCTGCCTTCGCCTCTCGCCTCCATACGGAGATAAGGATAGAATGCTGACTCTGGTAGGGACCTTGAGATAAGGAGCATCTGGGTGGAACTAAATAACTGTTAGCCATTGGTGTTTGTAATGGGAAGGAGACTAATTGTTATTGTTATTATATTTAATAGACAGTATATAAACTGCTTCATAATTGCTTGTATTCGAAGATCTGCCTCGGTGAGGGGGGGGACTCCCCCCCCCCGTCCGAACCAGTTTTTCCCTTGCTGCAGCTCGTAATAAAACTGCCTCTGGCTACTTGTTGCTTACAAACTCAGAGTGAGGACAATGTTTTCTTCCACAACCCTGTGGGCCACACTCCCAACAGTTGGTGAGCCGCAGAACATATTTTGTCCAGATGTCACCTAAAGCATCAACCATAGCTCCTCTTCTAGTGTTAGAAGCCAAGTTGTCACAAACTAATTTAAAATGGCTATAGAAGATTATTGATGCACTTGCTTAAGAAAGTAGTAGCTAGCTATATCTTTGACCATTACAGCAAATCGTATGCCTTTTTCCACAGTCACATATGCTGCATCCTGTCAGATGACAGCAGAGCTCTCTCTCTGTCCTGGAACTGGAGGTATTGAGCAACTCCATGATCTCCCTCCTCATCCCTATACTGGTGACTTGAGCACACATCAAGCTGGAAAATTTACAGTGCAGGAAGCAGATTGACTGGAGTTTTATGGTGCTCCAGACCTCCCACCACTAAGTGGAGCAGCAACAGGTATTCCCACAGCAGCTATTGATTCTCCCCACTCCTCCAGAGGTTGAGAGATGACAGAGAGCAATGATAGTTTTTATTTGAGTGAAGCATGTGTGGTGGGTCAGAAGGGACAGTTCATGAGGAGATAATGAAATGTGATTTAAATGTGATTAAAAAGCTTGATTTAAATGTGAAATAATGTAGTTGGAGTCAAAGTCAAAATTCAAAGTGGGGAAGAGAGAAGGGACATATGATTAGGGAACCAGGAAAAGGATGGTTGTTTTAGCACTTGCATGCTAGATTTACAGAAGGGAATAAATAGGAAAGCTTGGCAAGAATACGGAGAACATTGACTAAAACCAGAATCATAGCAATCGGGTGGTTGTGTAATCATAGTAATCAGTATGTTGTAGGACCATGATATATCTTAAATTATATCTTGCATTTTTGAGTGATTCACCCATATCTCTAATTTCTCTCGTCAGGATTTTTCTAACATTACAAACCCTTTAACAGTTTTAGATCTCCCCTCTTAAAAGTTTGTTTACACTCTTAAAATGTGGTGCTGCCGTCCACAGAACAAACTTGCAGCTGTTCAATGCCTGGGATAAGCCAAATTAAGTCCTTTTCTATACCTCACAATCTTACAGCATTAAAGTCCAACATCTCCTGGCCCTGCAAGGACTGACAAAGGCACTTAATACCATTGGGACGGGAAGAGCCTTTGGGACTAGCACTCACTTCTAGCCCTCCAGAGCTGTGAGATATTGGACTGTAATGCTTTGACATTGTTCTATTTAGAAGTGCTATTTTAAACCATTTTATGAAGCTTCTGTGCTCCCTTCTGGACTCATGGTAACTTAATTGGATCTATTTTTGACTCTTAACGTTTTAAAAAACTCTGAAACATTTGTGATCTTTTTCTCCCCCTGCAGCACACAGAATACCCAATAGAATGGTACAAAGATTACTCAAGAAAATAGAGACAAAAATAAATAACTCTGGACTTGTCCTAAACTCAACCCCCAAGATAACACTTTTCAGAATCCTAGCACAATAAAACTCTCAAGTGTTGTTACTTCAACATTCAGAGTCTTCTTTTCCTCTATCTTTATTGGCACCTTTTTCCTTAGGTGGGGGGAGGAAACAGACAGTGGAGATCAACAACATCCAGAATTCACAGAGCTGCTCCAGAAAGATTCCCAATATAGATAGTGAAGTTTTCTAAGTAACTGTTCTCCTCTCCTGACCTGTCCAGCAACCCATCACTCTTTTTCATCCACCTCCCCATTTTGTATCTCCAGTCTGCCTTTTTGTGCGTTAAGCTACTTCTCGGCCTTACTAATTAACACTGACCTCTAGCACAGAGTCTTAGACTAATATCCCAGGGTATGTCTACACTACCACCCTAGTTCGAACTAGGGTGGTAGTGTAGACATACCCTGGGATATTAGTCTAAGACTCTGTGCTAGAGGTCAGTGTTAATTAGTAAGGCCGAGAAGTAGCTTAACGCACAAAAAGGCAGCATTTGGCCGGGCGCCGCCATTTTTAAAGCCCCGCTAGTTCGGACGCCATGCCCGCGGCTACACGCGGCACTGAGTAGGTAGTTCGGATTAGGCTTCCTATTCCAAACTACCGTTACTCCTCAGGCTTCATTTGCAACTCCTGGGCTTCATTTGCAACTTCGGTTGCCTACATTAACCACCCTAGTTCGAACTAGGGTGGTAGTGTAGACATACCCCCAGACTCATAATACAACTTTATTTCTCTTTATTCCTGAAGGATCTGGTCCAGCATGAGCAGTATATTTCGATACTAGATATTACTGTCATTTGTTTGGAACAATCTCATTGGCTTCATACTCTTGCCATTTAACAATCCCTGGTGCCAATGATACAATCTTGCCAAAACTAATGAAGGGTCACAAAGCATAGGCACAAAATCTTGGTCATCTAAAAAAAAAAGAAAGAAACTTGCTCATCACAATCAAACAAAATTTTTAAAATTATTCACCCTGAGTGAGCATGCAATTTATACATAATCAGCTGTACTAAATTTCAAATATATTTGCATATATTAAGTAATTAATATAAATCTATGCTAAGAAAAAAATAAAGGGAATTGTTGTTAAATGTTTGTCTGAACGTGTATGTTCCTTGACAGACCTCGAAAGAAGCACCCAAAGACCACAAGATCCATTAGGGTATGAAGGCACTGAGTCAAGTTTATTGTCAACAAAGCACAGTAATGGCACTTACATGCATCTGACGCAGTGGGTCTTTCCCCATGAAAGATTATGCTCCATTAAATTTGTTAGTCTATATGGTGCCACAGGACTTCTCATTGTCTATGCAGAATCCTTCTGTTATCCTTGGGAAATGTTTTTGTACCTGATTTGAGATTAGGATATTCTGGTGCCACTCTTCTGGAATATGTTTGAGTGATTACTCTGCCTAGAACTTCTTAGGAATGTGTTTCTGCAATATCAGCCCTATTCTTGCCAGATTCTGTTAACTTTCAAGTAGGCAAAGCTTGACATTTGCTTACAGCCTGACTTTGCTAACTTTGCTTTATATCAACAAAGCTTGATGACTATTTTAGCTCAGTCCTGATACCATGCCTCTGACACAAGGGCTTCTATCTCAGGCTCTCTTTCTAATATAGGGATTATTAATATATACAAAATATTATAGACAGGTTGCCTGTTTCTTCCTATTGTAAGATCCTATTTTCAGTTGCATAAAACTTTGCCAAGCTTTAAGTCACACAGGCTGAATTTTGTTATGGCAGGTGTCTGCCTCAGGCTCAATATTTCTAGAAATGTTCCATAATCATGGTTCAGCTATTCCCAAGAATGAAGTTAAAGAAAAATAGATTGTTCTGAGCATGTTAGAAATACTCTTGTAACAGTTTTGTTGAAATCCCAAGTGCTTTGGATTAAAGAGATTTAAAATATGTCAAAGTAGTCACCGTAGTGCAGGGTTAGACCTTTTGCGCTCCCTCTGAAGATACACCCAAATTTGTCCAAGATAAGTCTCTGAAAATAAGCTGTTCACACATGCTCAATAGAGACTTGAAGAAAAGCACTCAGTAACTTGAAAGCTTCTTTCTTTCAACAATAGAAATTTGTTCATGATGTCACCCATGACATCTGTCCAGTAGAGACTTGTCAAAGTTTGGCAGCTAAGTTCTCTGAAAATTCCTTCTGCACTGGATTTGCTCCATTCCTTTGAGCTTCCTTCATGCTATCTGGACTGTGCATGTACCTTCCCAACAAACTATTGAGCATGTTCAAACTGAGGACTTCAGAGGCCAAAATGCTGCAAATGCTGGTTCTAGCTACACTGCAACTGAAAGTTCCTCATGAGATTGTCTCTTCTGTTGTCTATGTGACTCCTTGCTGGGACCTGGCTACCATAGAGTGAGAAGTAACAAATGTGGATGGGGCAAAATCTGGACCCAGAAGATGGAGAGAAATTATGACCCTACTCCTCAAAAAAGCGGGAGGGAGAAACTATAACCAAAGTCTGGGTGGAGGGGATGGAAATTAGGACAAGTTAGGCATGGAGCCTGGGGCAGAGGGGAGAAGCTGCAGAATTGGAGACTTGGACTGGTTAGGTGAGGAACTTGATACAAGAACAAGGAGCCATAAGTGGAGAAGACACAGAACTAGTACCAGGGCAGATTGAAGGGATTATGTGTGGGGTGTAATGGACAAAAAAAGAATCTGTGCTCTCATAAGTGCACTTCCCTCTAGAGCTGAGAATGGCACCCAGGATTCCAAAGACCAACCATGCTTCTGCTGTCAGCATATTCCTGTGAAACACACTGGGAAAATGTCTTATACCTGTATAATCCTGGTCATGATTCTGTTACACCTGATCCGCTGATAATGCCTTTAACAGCCCAGCTTCAGGCCAATGTGTTAATTATCAATATCAATTAGCCTAATTAAATAAAAGATAGATTGCAAATGCGACCCCAAATCCTGTATCTAATCACCAGGGTTTAGTTTCCTACCATGAGCGGAGACGCATAAATAAAGACTAGACAATTTGGATACATTTCATAACAACAAGACTATATTGTAACATATATCTATATCTCAAATAACCAAAAGGGGCAGTCCCCTTAAATACTAAGCAACATTACCAGAGTCTAGCGGCGCAAGGGGCGATGGATTACTAGCTGGCGACCTCAATCCTTTGGCTAATTTGAAGCCTCAGGATAGGAACAGCCAGGAGTCCCTCGGTGGTTGACGGCACCAATGCTGGCAACCTCAATCCTCAGGTCCTTCTGGGCCTTTGGAGAGGAACAACAAGGCGTCCCTCGACGAAGCCGGAATGGGAAACGACGACTGGCCTTCCGCGCGGTCCTCGTCCTTCTTCCTGCACTTCGGAGCAGCTGGACGGCGATGGAAGCTAGACCCTCTATTCTATCCTAACCTTAATATATTCTAAAATAAAACCTTATCTAATTCACGATGTGCCCACCGGACAGACACGACGGCCGACATGCATAGACCAACACTGCCTACCGGACAGACTCGACGACAAAATCTAATCCTAACTAAAACTAAATTAACTAAACTAAACCTAAAGGTAAAATTGTTAAAGAACAAGAACAAGCCTTCTGCTTGACTTGACTTTAAGATGAACTTAACCCTCACATCCGACCTAGGACAAGATACCAGACACCCTCTAATGCATACGCTAGCCTGACCTAACCTAACCCGACACCCCGACACAACAACAGCAACGGGCATTGCACAGGTTATAATAGGCTACACTCATGCATATGCATGAAGGTTTTAGTTTAAAATTATTGGTCTAGTATAGGATGCACTATTAGCATTCTTCATTCTTATTGATCGATAAGCATAACACTTATTATTAATGAGATAACAGACTCTTGCTATGAATATTCATGAAGGAACGGGTTTCACCCATGAATACTCATGTACACTTTCAAATTTGAAATGAAACTGTTACTATAGACAACTAATAAACAAAATCAGATGA